CACACACACACACACACACACACACACACACACACACATAAACAGTATACACAGAAAAAAGGGGGGACAACACGGACAAGCGGCAGGAGATATAGAGGACGGACCCCCCGGGGTCGGCTTTGCCCCAGGAGCTTATACTCAAGCAGAAGCCTCTAAAGGTAAGTGCTACGAAACGATCTGAAATTGAGCCTCTATCCTGGAAAAAGGGAACCGAAACTGAACCCCATACCCACCCACATTACCGTTGGGCTAGCTTGAACTTCGGCTACATAGGAGTGCTAGGTACGTATGCACGCACGCGAGCAGCCTATGCTGAGATGCACGAGGAAGGGGCGGCACGATCAAACGGCTGAGTAAGAAAGAGTACAGATACTCCTGATCAGCCACGATGACTCATACTGGTACAAATGTCCTTGAGGTGAGTGGAACAGAATCATCTAGAATCAGACCTCGATCCTGACCCACCCACTGTACATGTTGACGTGACCACTAGACAAGGCCCCAACAATGAGGACACTAAAAAAGGAAAAACACGAAATAGGCTCGAGCCTGAGCCACGGAAATGTACCAAGCACTTTCACTGATGATAACCCTGTATCGAACCACTGACGTACCTACTGGGGATGGGACCAAATCTCATACCCGGACAACAAGGCAACGACATTTCCAGGGAGACAAAACACTCATGAGCCTGACGCACGTAGCGGTAACATAGGCTGCTAAAACTTCGGTAACATCGAGCGGGTAAAGTTCGGTAGGGACCTCCAATTGACGAAATGAGCAATTCGCGTACCCGTGATACCATCTACCTCCCCTCTCTATCTACCTTTATATCTGTTATGCAACTACCGAAGTTGAGTACACAAGTGAGCTGTGAAGTGGTTGGGCAGTGCTATCTTGAACACTGAGCAGAAATCAGTGACTCAGACGAGGTCTGGAGACTATGGCGGACTGAGATTTTTCCACTGGAGTCGACGAGGACTTATCGCTTACGCCAGACGCTGATGAAGAAGCACAAGCAGCAGAGGAAGCGGTATACCATCCTCGTTCCCACTCTGGACTTGCATGGGGGGAATGGTTGTCTATGTGTGCTCCAGCTGGATGGATGTGAGTTGTGTGTTTTTGCAGGGACTAGTAACCCCTCTGATGAGCCGGATCTGTGGCGACGGCGAAAAAGCTTTTAGGGGATGCCACACCCCTCCTGCTAGCATAAGTATCTACCTGAAGCCATCAAGCCACCCTTCGCCATGCTACCTGGATATCGCCATACCGGACCCTCCCGGCGAACTGCTTTTTGTTTTTTGTTCGATTCATTTTCTGAGAAACTTGGTGAGGAAGGGCACGAGAGTGTGATGAATACCATTCGGTGAGGATAGTCATAAGAGCTGATTGCGGAGGATGTGTGACTTGCTATTGAGTTATGGAGGAGTAATGATGAAGGGATAAGGCGGAGCAAGGAATGGATGTAGTGGGATGAGGAGGGGGCAGAGGAATTGGACGGGAGTATGCTTGGAACCGTGGGGGGTTGGGATTCGGGGCACGCCTTGGGTTGCTGTGTTGATCTGATCCTGGGAATTCTTGAATTTCATGCGCTCCAAATATTTTAAATCTTCGCAAATGATTTGCCAACAGAGTCTTGATCTCCGTCCGACAACAAGCGTGGTTTGCCTCAACCTGACCTTTATCCCCCTGTCTCCTCCGAGTTTGTCCAACCATGAAAGCTTTTTTATATAGACTGTACTTGCTTAACTCTTTTTTGAAGTAGTGTGTTATCCCCCATCTACCACCCGTGGATACATCTGGATGAATGCATGGTTTGATCAGTTTTGCATATGTCTGAGGATATAGGGGATGGACACGACCAGCTACGTATGTTTTAGGGAGCTCCATGGGTAATAAGTGGAAACAATTATCGTCAGATTAGTTACGAGCAGGCTGGAGTTTACCATGATTAAATGGGGTCCATGGCATGATATGTCGTGGGATATGAATTGATACACACACAAGGAAGGGTCTCCCTTCTGGCAACCGCTTGTGGGTTGATTCCCACAGCTGTACTCCGGCCCTGTTTTGAGCTAATTACATGATGCACTCGTAAGACCACTTGGCATATACTATGGACCAGGCTTTCCGAATTCAAAACATGCCACGTAGCGTACTGACTACAGGGTGCTACACTCTGCTTGTCTGTCGTTTCTGTTTCCTGTGCCTGCTGCTGTATGAAATGATATGTTTCTACCCTTTACACCTCTGCCCTTTTGCCTCCCTATACTATTCATGCGAATTGATCTCCTACCATCTTTGGACCTTCCCATGCCGCCCCCCGCTCTCTTACTTTCCTGCCTTCCCCCTGCTCCTCTAGGAACCGGTCTACGATGGTCCAACACAAGGTGGATGGTGGGCGGAGACCATCGACAGGAACCCGTTCCTCGCTGATCTGGAACCCTACTCGAAGCCCACCAAATCTCTTATCAATATCATTCACCCAATTGTCACACGTTTGGTTGTGAAAGGGTCACGGCCGGTCAATTCCCCCTTATCACTGACATCTTCCTATTCAACGAATGGGTGAAACTTGCCTGGACCTATGAGCACGAAAGGCACCGCTTGGAAACGATTCTAAACAGTCATATAGCCAAGTCCGAGGAAAGAGAAAGGTTAACTTACGAAAGGAGAGGGACGGCCTTCTGGGTAGGACTACTAAACTGGAGGGGATCCTGAAGAAGATATGGGAAGTAGGAAGGAACGACATCGAGATGGACGTACGGGTTAATGAGGAGGGATACGATCCAACACTGATGGGGGGCATGGGCGATGACGAGGAGCAGGAATTGAGGATGCTCTTGGAAAACCAGTCTCTCCCCCCTCCACCAGAGGAGGATGAGGATGATGATCGTGGGGATCGCAGGAATGGATTTATCTTCATAGCCTCAGCACACAGGGTTGAAAGGGAGGCTGGGCGCAATCACGATCGGGTATGGGTGAAAGGGGGTTTTAACAACCTCCCACCTATCAATGTAAAGGGTTGGAGATTCTTGGCGGATCTCTCAAAGAAAGAGCTAGAGGATTGCCGGAAAAAAGCGCTTGTAGGTACACTTGATTACGCCGGTACCACCCCGCACTATGGAGGGAAGCTTGCCTTTCCCACCATGAGCGTTATCGACCCCACGAAATGTGTGCACCCCAACCCGTTAGTCATGCAGAAGAAGATCACCACATCACTCACCATTGACCTAAAAAATTTGCGAAAGATATGGAACACTGGTAGACCTTACATTTGATGCAAATGTGGGTACAAAAACAATCGGAAATGCAACGAGGGACCGATTTCGTTTGACCATGCGATCTGGCACGTCTTGGCCAAGTCGGAGATCATCAAACCTGAGGCGGGATCGAATCGAGTGCGGGTTGGCTTTTTACTTCACCACATGCGCACCTTGTGGAGGGAGCTCGTGATGCCATCCATCACCTTCATCTGGATGAGGGAGATGATGCTTACGCTTCTTCGCAATCTTGAAAGAAATCCGAGCCTCATGACAGTGGATGCATTCGCAGGGAGTACCTTCGCGGTCCATCCCTGCCGCAAAGTCCTCGCGAATCTCATTCTTCCCACCATGATTACACCAGGCCTTCCTGCCCCTGAAATCCCCAACCAGAAGAAAAAGAATAATAGATCCCCTGGTGGTGGGAAGGCGAGGAGGCTTTGTGTGAACTCCCCCAGGCAGCAGACGCTCCTGAACTCCTTCAAGATTGCAGCCAACCCCCCTGATGCCTCTCCCTCCCAAGCAGACAGCTGTGCACGGTCAGAGGTGAGCACGGCAACCCCAGCCAGCAGCTGAGCGAGCACAAGGAAGTGGGGAAGGACAGACGATGCCCCAGCCAGGCAGTAACTCGTTGCCGAATCAACAAAGGAACCTAAAACGTCTATCTCCCATCCTTTCCGATCCCTCCTTCCCCCTTTCCCCCTTCCCCCCTCCTTTCTCCTCTCCTCTCTCTCTCTCCCCCCTCCTCTCTCCTCTCTTCTCTCCTCTCTCTCCCCTTTCCCCTCTCCCATTAATTTTTCTTATGTGATCGCAGGTGTTAGAAGGCGTCCAATGCAGAGAGCTGGAGGAGATACTAGGGCATTTATGGGCATCGGAAGCGGAACTTGATAATGTTTGTCAAGTCCTAATTGAAAGAAGCAGCCACATTACAGTCAGTGTGCTTAACTGGTCAGCAACAGAGGTAGTCGGGATCTCACAGCTCGAATCCACTCCCACTCTATGGGTGAGAAGGGTGCTGTTGAGGCTCAAGCATAGGCATCAAGCGATGGCTCGCCATCTCATGTCGGTCCATGCTGCCTACAGTGATACAATAAGAATAACGTCCGAATCGAAAGCTACCTGGGGACAGCAGCTGACGGATGCCACGAAGGCACTGCACATCGCGAATGAGAAAATTGCAGTACTTATCAAGACGATGCGAGTCCGCGAGCTACATGCTGCCGAAACTAGAAGGAGGTTCCTCATCCTTACCCACTGCCTATGAAACACTTGCGGACGCGTCCGCGGGGCCGAGCTCGGATGGCGAACGCAGACGGGTCCGCGTCCGCGTCCGCGGCCGACCTGGTCCGCGCCGTGGACCCAATTTTACAAGATTTTTCCTGAAGTAAATAATAGGTAAAAACAAATCAAACAAATATGGGGTTGTAGGGAATTTTACGCCCTACAACCCCATATTTCTTTGTTTAAAAACGATGCGTTTTAGGATTTAAAAAAAAATAAAAAACCAAAACGGTGCAAAAAAAAAAAAAAAAAAAAACTTTTTTTTTTTTTTTTTTTTTTTTTTGCAGTTGTTTGTGTTCTTCAGTTTGTTGTGTTTTTTGTTTGTGATGAAGATGTGTTGTTCGTGAATAAAAAAACAAGGAAAAAAAAACAAAAAAAAGGCCCTGCTAGAGCCTGTTGGGGGACCACCATCAGCAGGCAGTGCCAGGCAGCAACACATTTTGTGTTGCCGTTTCAGATAAAGATGGGTTTGGAAACAGCAACACAAACTGTATTGGTATTGCTGTTGCCATCAACACAGTGGAGAGGACGAAGCCGGAGGGCCTGGCGTGGACGGCGGCCATTTCTGGTAAGTTTTTTTTACACATTTCTTTTTCTTATTAATATTACTCTTCCTTTTGTTCTTCTTCTTCTTTTTATCCTTCGTCTTCTTTTTCTTCTTCTTCTACTTCTTTTTCTTCTTCTTTTTCTTCTTCTTCTTCTTCTTCTT